TTTTATCAAGATAAAATTCATACAGCAATTAATACTACAAAAAGGTTAGCGATCAAATTTCAAATTTACACAATAACTATTGTTAGTAATTTCTTTTTTCGTTTTTTTTTTCTCCTCATTTTTGTAATAAATTTAAATGATGAAAGGAAAGAATTGATAATATTATTTGAAGAAATTATTTAATTTAATGCAAATTTGATAGATCATTTTGGAATTTGTGGTTTGATAAATTTTCACTTTGTAAATTATTGTGGTGTATAAATAAAAGTGGAATAAATTTGTCGTACATTATTCGTTACTGTTGTTGTTGTCATCAGCAAGGGTTGTTGCTATTGTTGCTGTTTGATAGTGATGCTGTATGAAAAGTGATAACATCACTGAAATTGGGAGGAATGACTTTGAGCTGTCCTTGAAATCATCTTGGCCTCAATCTTCATGTATATACCGATATTTCATGATTCCAACGATCATATATATGTATATACACATACATATGTGTGCATGTGTGTGTGTGTGTGTCTGTAATTCTTCTTTTTACCTTTCTTACTATAAATTAAATTTAGCAATAAGAAATATAAGGCGACAATGATAGATTATCACTAACATCATCGTCTTATTATCAATCAGGTTGGCTACTATTTCTATCAATAACAACTATTACTATTACAATCATTATTTTGTTCCTTATCAATTTTCATAATTGAAAGAATATTATTGTTAAATGATAAATTAATTTTTCCTTTTTTTTTTAATTCTGAACAAAAAAAATTCAATTTCTATTTCTTCAGAGCAAAAAAGAAGAAAAAAAAAACTCACTAATATTTGTATATTTTGCTTGCAATAAACTAATAATTTTTAATGCGAAATTGATTTTATTGCGAATTGAATTTGTGATAATTTGATTGTGAACTGCTACTGCTACTGCTACTGCTATCATGTTGGGTAGAAAGAAAATTAGCAAGACTGGAACTTGCTCCATATTCCTGACAATTTTTCTAACTATTGGACCGGATGCTGTTTTGGCGGAACGGAATTGCTTCACAGCTGGTCAAATTGCTGGTATCATATTTGTCACATCATTTACAACATTCTTTGCTGTTATCGGTATCGCAGTACTCCTATGGTACTTTTATCGAAATCAAACAATTGATAAAAGTGAGATATTCAATTACAATTTCATTCATTATTGTGAAAATTTTTAAATTCAAATTTAATGCAATATTCAGATTGCAAACTTACACAATTATCATTTTGATTTCTTTTTTAATTTTATAGAATTTTTATAAAAGTGCAACGGAAATATGAAAATCATCAAACTGAAATATTTACCTTTAAATGTACTTTTCTTGAGAAGGCATTTTTGCGATTTTTTCAATCACATTTAACATCTATTCAATATTATCGATTCTATGATTAAAAAAAAAAAAAGGATACCGGACTTATCCTAAATTCTATTTAAAAATTGCTATAAAAAATTCTGACATGCATTTTTGTTTTATAGCATATAATATGATTCGATTTAATTTGAATTTATATGATTAAAAAAATTTTAATGCAAGTAATTTAAAAAAAAAAAAAAAACATAATAATACTTCCAAGATGTGTGAAATAAATAATTCTTATCTTCTTTTTTCTCATTTGCCAATAAAATAAAGTTTGAAATCTGGTTCTCCAGATTATGTGCATTAAAGTTATTTCAATTCTTAAATCTAAAGAAAAACTATGAATGGTAATTAGCTGAAAAAATTTATAAAATGTTTCAAAAAAAAAGATAAAATGGTACGGAAAGATTTTTGACTAAAGTGGTTGCAAAAAAATTATTTTGTTTTTTGTCAAAATAATAAAATTAAATACATTAACTCTTTAAAAGATTTTTCTTCGTCATTTATTTAATAAAACGATTTGTTGTAATTTATGAGAAAAAAAAAGATTGAAATTGAGCTAATTAATGAATGAAAATTGATAATTCATTAAATTTCTTCTTATAAATTATTCGAAGATGAATCGTGTTATAAATATTTAACACAAAAATTTTATATACATTAACTTATGATCATCCAAAAAACTTTTTCTACTGTTTAAGAAGTAATACTTCTAATCTGGACTGAAATATAACCTACGGTAATGACAATTTGAAATTAAAAATGAATTTTATTTTGTTGAGAAATGGATAGAACATCACAGTCTTCTAGCGATCATTATCAGAAGCATTAGTGACGAGATGTAAAAAAAAAAGGAAAAGTTCAAGAAGAAATAATTTTGTTATGAAAAATTCTTCGAGAAAAGGGTGGAAAAAAAAGCACTGTTTACCGTTTCAACTATCTTCCCAAATATAAATCTTACAACCATTTTCGTAATCAAATTGATTTTTTTTTCTCGATTAAAATTTAAAGCATTAGTGCCTTCGTAATCAAACTCTTCAAAGCAATAGTGTTTTTATGATCTAATTGAATTCTTTTTTTCCATCAAAATTTAAAATATTAAATGTTTATTTGCCTCATTTGAGATACTCAGATCAATTACAATTTGAAAGATATTTCAATTCTACCACTGTAAAACTCATCAATCTTTAAAAATGGATCAAAAATAGACAAAAATTAAATAAAATAATACTTATTTTTTAAATGAAGTTATTTATTTCCATTTCTTACAAGTATAAATATTAGATTTCAAAATTTCAGAGCCGTAGTTGGATAATGCTATTCTTTTTTTTTAGTTTTTGGGCATTTTTTAACATTTCAAATTCTTTTTTGTCTTTGTAACACTAAAACAAAAAAACTTGATGAATTAAAGAATTTTTCATTTATTAAGCAACGCTGCCAATGATTATATTGCACACTTTTTTCCATCTTAGAATTTAAACCCAAAGCTGTAATGTTGAAAATTTGAAATCAAAAATTCGCAGATGATTGAAAAACATCAGTCAAAGTTAAAAAAAAGAAATGAAATCCAAAAATTAGATATACTTTGTTAAACTTTGCCAAAGTTAGAGTATTCATTCAGAATTTGAGTGCTTTTAAGTTCACTTTCATCAAATTAATAAAAATAGATTTTTTCCTATTTAATATTATTTCTTCAAGAATAACCGAAATTTTCTCAGACAGATCTGAGAAAGGCTTTAATAGGCAATAAATTAAATTTAGCAAATCAGCAATCCGTTCTTATTTTCAAGTAAATAAGGAAAATGTGAAGTGCATTCTTCCAACTAATTCATCATTTCTTCTCACTTCAAAAAGGAAAACAATGAACAAGCAAACTTAGAGAGTGAAATTAAATTAAATCATACCCAAACATAAAAGATTAAAATCTTTGAAATATTTTTTTTTATGTTTCGACAAGGAAAATGTGATTTATTATGTGAATGTTTCGGAGTGTTTCCGAATGAATGGTTCGAAATTCCGACCCTCTTCTCCATCTTTCTCAAAATGACGAAAGTTAAATTTTAAAAGTTACAGTGCAATTAATATTATCTTATTTTATCTTTAACATTTATTAACTAAAAATAATACTTTTCTGTGTGTTAAATTTGATCAAACCTGTCCTTATGTAAATGCTTTACTGCACTTTATTCGAGGGAAAAAGTACTTCAATTTAAAGCTTTCATTGTTAATTTTCATTCATCATTTTGTCTTTTCTCATCAATTTTCTCTCAATCATTATTTTAATCGAATTAAAAACCATGTTTCAATTAAATTAGAAATTTTTCTCTCTTATTATTTCTTTTTAAAGTAAATTGCAAAAATTTTGTCCTCTTTTTTAACTTTTCATATCATTCACTATTTAAATTAGATAGTAATTATTTTTTTCTCCGAAGAGAAAAGCAACTTTAAAAACGGAATATTGATTATTCAATTAAAATAGTAGATGATAAAGGAAGTTAAAAAATTGATGCATTCTGATAAGAATGCATTTACATTTTGCGATAGAAAATCTTACAATATGAAATGTAAAATAAGGAAATTAAGATAAGCATTACTACGAAGAAGTGATAATTGAATTTTTAGTATTCATTATTAATCGTTTAATTCCACCAGACAGCGAAAATAATATATTATGAAACTTTTCAGTCATTGCAAATCATTTAACGCTTAATCATCTAACGTAAATATCTAATTTGAAATTGGAAATGAACTCTCTCATTTGACGATATTAAAAAGATGCATTAATGCCATCATCAAAGTATGCTTTTCTCAAAATTTTCACACATATTTTTGATGATATTGAAAATGATTTATTAATTCAAATATATTCATATATTTTTGCGGATAAAAATTTTAAATATGGAAAAGTTTTATTTGCTTCTTTCATCCTTTCTTTCCTTTTTTTTTTTAAAGCATTTTCATTTTCATTTTTTCTCTCATCCTTAAAAGAGAAGAAAAAAAGTATAGCAAATATCAAAATTTTTTTAGAATTCATTGTATTTTTCCAAGCAAAATGAATGGATGTAATAGTTTGTGAAGTATTAAAATTTCGAAAGTTCTTCGAGATATTTAATGATGAGAAATGAAACAATTCTGTCCAATTAAAACAAGGCCAATGAACTTTCGCCGCCATTTTACCGTGATTAAAATCAACGGAGTGTGTAATAATTGTGCAACTAATTTATCTAATGCAAATGTCTGCTGCATAAAAAAAAATATGAAAAAGAAAGGAAAGGAAAAAACATCCGCATTTATTCATTCATTTTCTAGTAATATAATATGAAATAATTTATGACAATTATGAATTTATAACACAATAAAATAATTCATAATATAAAATAATTTAGTTTTGTAGTGTAATACTTACAAAATTAACAATATGATTTATCAAATAAATTATAAATTAGTAAATTTTGATGTTATAGCAATATATATATAAGTTTATATTTTAAGTTTATGTTTATATTTGGTTTATATTTGGATTAAGAAACTTAAAACTTAAACAGTTAAATTTTAGATTTCATAGCTACAATTGAAAGTAATGCGGTAAAATCGGGAAAAATTGACTACAGTGAACGAATGAACGAAATGGAAAATAAAGCGGTTGAAGCGATCATATCACCATCATTTATAGATAAGGTTTGAAATTTTCCTCATAGTTCATTTGTAGTATTTTAGTGAGGAAAAAATAAATCATAAGCCAAATATAAAATTGAAATTATTCAATGAATGCAAATATTTTGACATTTTTTCTTCATTTCTTAAGAAATTAACTCTGATATTGTATCCTTTAAATTCCTAATTTTTTTTTTTTTTTTTTTGTTTCCTCAAAAAAGAACGAAAGAGGAAAAAAATTTCATATCACATTCAGATGACATCATGCAGCTCGTTATCATGCAAATATGATGGTGATACAGATGATATTCATATGGAGAATCAAAAAATTCACTCAAAGCAACAACGACGATGTTTGGGATCACAGATTGTACCAACCGATCTCTCAATCAATGGTTCTATGAATATCGTAATGAAATTCTAATCTAATCTATTCTAGGTGATATCAAATTTTAATGGAATCCTTCCATTGTATTTTTCTATCTTTTTTTTTTTCATTTTTTATTGAAAAAAATTTTAGTTGGAAGATGTTGTTCGTTGCTTGCTTGATAAAGATACGAGCGCATTGGGTTTCCAGATAGCGCAAAGATCGGATGGTATATGCATCAGTTATGTTGAGCCTAACGGTCCAGCTGATCGTTCCGGAAATATTTTTGTTGGTGAATTTTTTTTTATGATTAAAAAAATGAAGAAATATTCACTCTATGCTAATTTCAGTTGATTAAATTAACTTTGAAAAGTTCAGGCATTATTAATTCTCATCAAATATATTGAGTTCAAATATTGAAAGTTTTACATCACTGTTATCGAATACAAAATATTTCGTGTTACTTAGCTACAAATTCATTGGCAATTAATTCGGTTAAATATTTTCAAAAAAAAAAAACTATCTTCTTATTTTTCAGGTGATAAAATAAAAGAATTAACGATAACATTTGAGAATATGCCAATCAGTGATGCGTTGACAATTCTTAGTTGTGCTTCAACTTATAAAGTATAATTTATCACGTCGTTTGTTTTTTGTTTTTTTTTTTTTTTTGATTGAAAACATGTAAAATTGTTTCGTTCAAGAATATATAAGTGAAATTAAACACAGATAGCAACTGTATTAAATGTAAAAATGAAATTAAATTGAACCTGAATGCGAATTTAGATACAAGTAAAAATTAATGGAAATTAATTCTATTATTTTGCATACTGGAAACAATTATTGATATATTTTTTATATTTTTACAAAAATTATTTAGGATATGAAATTCTGAAAAAAATTTGCAGATTCGATTGGAATTAGAAAGAGCTGCAATTAATGATGCTATCCAGCCAGATTTTCCAGATACAAATATAGCAGAACAGCTGAATAATTCGGCAAATCCCACTCAGCAATTTTCTAATCTCTATAAAAGTTACTCAACTTCAGATTTAGCGCTACGATTACAAAAAGCACAAATGTTTGTTTTTTGAAAAATTCATTTCATTTTTAGATTAAAATTTTCACCAATAAAAAAAATCCATCAATTTGTTAATTGGATAAATAACAAAGACTAATTCAATTTTATTAAGGTCTGATAAGACTGTAAGTGGTGGAAGTTTCATGTCCAAACAAAAATATCAACTTCCACGACAAACCATTATAAATACGATCAGAGAGGAAGCGCAATCGTTAGCATCTGAAAATTTATCCTCATCCAATTCATACTCAAATTTTACGGAAAAGACTGAATTTGCATCAACAATGACGGAATCAGTTATCAGTGAAGAAACCATTATAATTAATGATCCATTGCCAGCCTTGAAAAATTTTCGAACTTCTTGCAACGAAATATCATCCCAATCTCAGAATCCATCCCCTGTTATAACTTCTAAAACTTCTCCAAGATCGAATCATACAACATCAAATTCTCTGCCATCAAACTTATCACAACAACAGACATTATCACAGATTCCAATATCACGCAACAACGACCATACCGTACTTTCGTTAATGCCCGAAGAAAATCACAAAATAAATGAAATTAATTACAATGGACTTTCAGAGTTTGTTGAGGTAAGCATTCTTATATAATGAATTGAAAATTTTAATGAAAATTCCTGAAACATTATAGTATACGTGAAGTAAAATAAAATTGAATATTGCAAACGTCGAATTTCTCTTATCAATTGATAAAATTAATTAGCGATAATACGAACCCGAATCACATAATTCATCGTTCAAAGCTATTTTTTTTTTTTGATATCTGTAGAACTGTACGATTATATCGGTTGTCCAATTGTTTTTTATTTCGTCATGAAGTGATTGATATGATAACTATCCTTATCACTCCAGTAGACGTGTCGAATTTTAGAAATAGTGAAACAGATCAGACCAAATCATTTATTCCACCATACACTTTCTGAATTCGAATTCATTACATTTTCAATCTGAATTCACTAAATGTTTCAAATTTGAATTCATTAAATTGAAGTAGTGCAAAAATTTCAGCGATCACATTTCATGTATTCAAGTGCAAATATCAACAATGATATAGGAAAAAATTGCGTCGAATTTTGCGAATTAATTGAGCCAAAACGTGATTCGATTGTAATTGAATTTGAAGAGGATCAAAAAGATGATTATTATCATCAACAAAATGATGAAGAAATGATTAACTTGCCAAACTGTAATGATAAATTTGATGAGGAAGTGGAGAATAATTTACATCAAGCTAATTCACACATTAATAATAATGGCGTATTAGCTAAAATACCACCTACATCAAATACTGCAACAATTAATGCTAATTGTACTGAAAAAGATCGATTATTCGCAGGTGTAACTGTCACCTCTCATAATCCACCTGTCAACAATGAAGCATCAGATGATCGATTCAGACAAATTGATCTTACTGAAAATAGGAAATTTGGTAATTTCAACGAAGATATTTCATTTTCAAACAATCCTGAGCATGCTGCAAACACTTTCATACCTTCAACAGTACCGAATCATACAGAAATAAACGAATCGAACAACAAGCATATGATGAAAAATAGTGTATCTGTTGTGGAATCACCGATAATTTCTCGAAAGATAACAAATGATAATGCACTTCCAAATGAGAACAACGAAAGGTCACCAAAACGCAATCAGTTGAGAAAATTATCCGATAATGGTGGAACGAATGAAGTTGCAGCAAAGAAGGAAGCGAAAAAATTAGCTAAAACTATTGATGATTTAAAAGATGAAGAAAATAATAAGAGTAATATATCACAAAGGTAACCTTTTTTTTTTTTTTAACATTTAATCGTGTTTTAAAATTTTTATTTAATCAGATTTTTGATTAAAAAATTTTTAAACTTTTCTACAATTTTTTGTTTTTAAATGATTTATAACAAAATTTTAGGAGTCCAAAATGGAGTCCAAAGCTTCAATCTCACATCCCAGTTATCACGAGGACACCATCAACAAAATCCAAAAATAAACTTCCAAAAGTTGAAGGTAATAAAACGGTGAACAATTCTGCACACAACAGAACGACTGACGACATCTTGAAGGTTATCATTTTTGTCCCATTTTATCTTGCAATCCAGATTGTTAAAATTTTTTCTCAATATACATTGTTTGTTGAAGACGAATTTTTTTTCTTTCCTTACTTTATGTCTCTCCCTTCATCTGCCATCATATTAAAGTGTTTCAAAAGAATTATAAATTCAATAGCGGATTGAAAATCGTGAAAATTATTGAAAACCAAGTAAACCAAGTAAACTAACGACAGTTAAGCGTCAATATTTCATTAAAGCAATTAAAATTTCCTTCGAATTTATTTCATATCAAATATTCATGTTTATTTTCTTTTAGCTAAAAAAAAAAGGTAAGTCACCCTTACATGAAAATTAAACTTTTAATTTAAAATTTCAATTTTGCAGAATGATATGAATGGGGCATCATTGTATATTGCGAAGAAAGAAGCTTTACGAAAAACTTATCTTCCATTTTCCAAAATAAACAAAAGGTGACATTATGATTTACAAAATTTACTAATCAATAAAAGTTCACATAACATAATCATCATTTATTATTTTTATTATTCAATCCATTTGAATTAATTTTTAAATTATTACGCTTGATCAATAAAACTACACCTCAATTAATTCTTTCTCATCTTGCCTCAATTGCAAATCTAAAAGTTGCAAAAAAAAAAGCGACAATATTCTTATTAGAAAAAATTTTTGGTTTTTATAAAAAAGAAAAAATTGGCTTAATAAACTTCTAAATCGTCAGGAAATTTTTTTTTCGCTTTGCGATATTTTATTATGAATAAATTTAGTATATTTTAGTGAAGAAATGGATTTGAATAAGGAACGTAAAGCTCGCCTGGAAGCTAATCAAGCATTGTTGCAACGACAACAGGACGAGCTGAGGACATTAGGCATTTTGCCTTAAATTATTCAAATTTCTGTTCATAAAATTTAAATACCTCTAAATTGTACTTTGATATTACTCTTTTTCTGTAGAAAAAAAAATGTGTTTTTTTTTGTTCCTCAAATTTTATTTAAACTTTTGTTTTACAAGCAGGATGAGAGATATTGAACTGAACAATTTGACAACAAATATCATTCATATTTAAAAACAACATTTAAAAAATTATTAAATTTAGAATTTTTTTTATTACATCGAAATAATTTGAATGGTAAAATTGTATTTTTCCAACTTATACAAGTCTAATTATGCAATCAGTTAATTAATATCATGCAAATTTCATTTTATTTGTATATATATATATATATATGAACAACGAAAAATAATTTTTTTTTGCCAAAATAATATTATCTGATATTTTCTTAATTGCATCGTTTTCTTTATAAGTTTTGTTTTTTTTTTCGTTGAATTTATTCCATTAGAAGTACTTATTAACTGAAAATACATATACATGAATGAATAAAGAATTCCTGTGCTAATTTCAATGAATAGGTTGGAGAGAGATGAAATTAAACTTTAATTTTCAAAATACTTGCAACCTCAAAAGTTTAAAAATTTGCTGCTTAACGTTAAATATTGCTTATAAGGATTAGTCATAGTGGTATGATGAAGATTTATCATTAATCTCTTATTTCATTATTTCGTTTTTTTAAATCAATAATTAAGATGGTGTAAAATATCTATTAGATGCTGTACAGAAGATTTGACTTTATAGGTTCAAAATTTTTTAGTAATGTAATAAGAAATTAAAATCTCAACAAATTAATATAATTTAACTGATATAGTCAAATAAAGTGATAAAGATTTTAGTTATGTCTGTTTCTTATCCCTTCCGCAGTTGATTATGTAAAATTTTTATCAAATCAATTCTCGCATATCCATTTTAATGATTAGTTTTTTTCCACCAGAAGAAATGATTCATTCATTTATTGAATGATTGCGATAATTCGTTAACAGAGCTGTTATGATCATTATGAAGGTGATTAAGTGTGTGTTCTCAAAAACTGCATTTTATATTTCATTTTTCAAATGCTTTCTCACACGTAATTAAACAGGTGGATGAAAGTGGTTTAGGATAGATAGGAAAAAAATTGATCCCTTTTATCCATTTAGGATATTAATGGTTGTTAACAAAAAATTGAAAATACTTTTGAAGTTATCTTAAATTGTAAAATTGAATCAAATGATAATTTCAATATTTTTAAAGTAATCTTAAATTGTTTTCAATAACTTCTCAATTTATTCAATTGAGCAAATATTAATCCATTTGTATGAAATTTCAGAACAGTTTTTTCTTTTTTTTTAAATAAGAATAAAGCTTTATAATGAAAAATGATACAATTTAGAAAAAATCAAAATTTATGATTATCAACTGAACAAATTGTGATAAATTAATTAAACTTAATATGTTAGTTAATTTTGCATTCTTTGTATGATGAAAAAAAAAAAAGAAATGGATATAATAGTATTACAAAACGAGAAATGTTGAAAGTTGCGTTGATGACGATGGAATCCGAATAATGGTTCCGTGATCGAATCACAATCATCACGATCGAATGTTCTTCTTCGATACTGTATGACATAAAATACGATATTGATCTTTAATGGCCAAACATGGGATGATAAGGATCCAAATTTTATTCCATATATTTTTTTATGCATTTTTTAAAACTTTACCTAGCGGAAGTTTCAAAATTATACTAAAAAGAATAATATCAGTAGAAATTAGTGCTTTTCTTCATTTTTATAAAATAATGTCACATCTGAGCAAAATGAGAAATAGCATGTTGATAACAGGAACATTTCAGTGTTACTGTAAAAATTTGGATTTATAATGAAACTGTAATGGTAGTAGTTTGTTTATCCAAAGTTTGAAATAATTACAAAAAAAAAAAAAAAAAAATTAGTAATCGGTTTTTTTCCTCACTTTTAACAGTAAGGCCGTAAATTATTGGAAATAAGTTCTGGTAAATTTTAAAAAGCAAATACATTCAAAGACGCATTAATCGGATTGAATTTTTTTTTTTTTGAACATTTTTTTCAAATCATGTGAAAGCTTTCAATTTATGCGAAGCTATGCAACATTTATTACTATTTAAATTTGCTAATATTTATATTTGCATACATTATCTTCGAAATTAAAGTTGTTTAAATTTTTTGATAAACAATAAAGCGCTATTTGTAATATTTTCTGCAAACAAAAATCACTGTCAACAGAAATCTTAAAATAAAGCTAGCACAGTTTGTCATTCGAAGGACAAACTTTGAAAAAAAAATTTGAAAAATCGTCGGCTCGGTTCTATAAAAGGTAAGTAGTTTGTAAAACTTTTTAATAAAATTGAAAAAAAAAAAAGATTGGAAAAACTTGGAAGCAAAGTGCAAATTGCTATTGTCATCTTTTTTTATACATTTTTATTAATGTAGTTTGCTTCCTATAACAGTTTTTTTTTTTCTTTTTAAAAAGATCTTATCTTACTCTATAATGTTTTGCCCTGCACTTTATTTACTAAACTAATTTTCAGCTTACAATGATTTTTACAACATATCAGTAATTAGCTTCTTTGAGGATGCAGAAATTCTTACTGGTTTGCCATAAAAATTAAAATATAACAACAATCAAATTAGTTTGAAATAAAATAATCGGAAACTTTTTTTTAGAAGAAATAACTTTGAACAGCTAATTTATTTTTATGGCTTATAATTAGGAATAAGCGTTAAAAAATTTTTCGAACTTTCATTAATACTGATAAAATTTTGAATGCAAAAAAATAATCAGATATTTCAGCTTCCATGGTTATTCTTCTCGATTATTTTATTGTGATACTACTCTGTACATTCCATTTCATCATATCAGGTTTGCTTTTTAGCAATTGTAACAACTAAAAACGATCGGCTTTTTTTTTAGTTTTTATTTACGTAAAAATTTCACAAATGCTTAAAGATTAATAGATGGAATGGAAAAAACTTTTGGAAAACACATAAGTTTTTTTTTTAAAATTCTTTAGCAGTTCAAATAATCGAAAAAAATCAATTACTTGATTCAGTAAATATCCTAATATTAAAAGCACAATCTGTTTACTCATTTAATGCACATATAATCTAAATTATTTCATTTTAATGGATGGACTTAAAATGCTGATCTTTTTTGCAGTAATTAATTTTCTTATCAGGCCATTATCATCTCGAAAACTGCAATAGAACTATGTTAATTGCAATAAAATTTAGCAAAAAAAAAAAGATTAATTTCTAGCATAAAATTTATAATAATGATAGTAAACGGATGCTAACAAATGCTAGTACGTGCAAATTATTTAAATTTTTCAATTTTGTCCACTTCGTATTTTCACTTGTTTTTTTTTTCTCTTAAGTCTTCCTTAGAGAGGAGAATAAGAGATAAGATACAAGAATTAATGATTTACTCACTGTAAGTTTTAGTTTCGTTATCAAATTCATTTGCTATCAGAATGAGAGGTTCATTTCATTTTTCTCTCTCTTTTTCTTCTTATAACTTTTTCAGTTTTCTTTGTAGCTATTGAATTTAACAAATAGGTGCAATTTAGAAGATGGTGAAAAAAAAAAAAAAGTTAGTTAGCGCATCTCGAATGGATAATGTAGCATCGGTTCACGGAAGAAAATTAACTGAACATTGAAAAAGACATAAACATTAGTGTAAAGAAAGAGAGAAGAGAGAATTGAAATGAAATGGATCATCGAGGATTTATCTAAAGAAAGTTTTAGAAGCATCCAAACCACTCATATTTATATATCCATCACTTCAACTTTCGCTTTTTCTATATCACACTCTCGATGAGTTTCAATTTTAGAATGCTCATTCATCCATCTTTTTTTTTTCAAAATTTTTATTGCTTTATTTACATCTGTGTGTTTCTCTCTTCATCTCTCTATCTCTCTCTTTACATATAAATTTCTCTCAAAAATTTAATTTTTTCCGCTTATTCCGAGAATTACGCATTCATTTGTATTTACAAAGTAATCCGCGGCTTCACACCAGCTAAATCTGCTTATCTTAAAAAGTCATCTATTAAAAATGTTCATTATTGAAGATGCTAAGAATATGTAATTTATACTTAACAAAATTTTTTACCTTAAAATTAAATTTTAATATATATTTTGTTGATATTAATATATTATACGTTTAGATGTTTTCACTCATGATTTTTGATGAAAGCAGCAAAATATATAACTTTAAAAAAAAGTAAACTATAAAAACTATGGCTGCTATATAATGCTTAGCATTAGCATTCCGTTCTTCAACGCTTGTTTATGTCAATTAAATTTAATTATTTGTTACAATTACTTTTACCGCATTTATGAAGAATTTAACTGCTCATAGCAGAAGTGATAATTTGTATACTGATGCAAGTAACTGCTTTTTTTTTTGCTTCAGTTAAACTTAGTATGCATTTATTTTTCTCTTTTCTTTGCACTCACCGGA